CACAAGAGTGTCCTACAAGAGTGTCCCACAAGAGTGTCCCACAAGAGTGTCCCACAAGAGTGCCCCGCAAGAGTGTCCCACAAGAGTGTCCCGCAAGAGTGTCCTACAAGAGTGTGCCGCGAGAGTGTTCCACAAGAGTGCCCTACAAGAGTCTCTCACAAGAGTGTCCCACAAGAGTGGCCTAGAAGAGTCTCCCACAAAAGTTTCCTGCAAGAGTGTCCCACAAGAGTGTCCTACAAGAGTGTCCCACGAGAGTGTCCCACAAGAGTGTCCCACAAGAGTGCCCTGTAAGAGTGACCCACAAGAGTGTCCTACAAGAGTGTCTCACAAGAATGCCCTATAAGAGTGTCCCACAAGAGTGTCCTACAAGAGTATGCCACAAAAGTTTCCTACAAGAGTGTTTCACAAGAGTGTCCCACAAGAGTGTCCCACAAGAGTGTCTTACAAGAGTGTCCCACAAGAGTGTCCCGCAAGAGTGTCCCACAAGAGTGTCCCGCAAGAGTGTCCTATAAGAGTGTCCCGCAAGAGTGTCCCAAAAAGAGTGTCCCACAAGAGTGTCCTACAAGAGTGTCCCACAAGAGTTTCCTACAAGAGTGTCACACAAGAGTGTCCTACAAGAGTGTCCTACAAGAGTGTCCCACAAGAGTGTCCCACAAGAGGGTGTCACAAGAGTGTCCTGTAAGAGTGACCCACCAGAGTGTCCTACAAAAGTGTTTCACAAGAGTGTCCTACAAGAATGTCCGACAAGAGTGTCCCATAAGAGTGTCCCACAAGAGTGTCCTATAAGAGTGTCCCACACGGAGTGATTTGTGGTATCAAGAGTATCCCGCAAGAGCTTCCTACAAGAGTGACCCACAAGAGTGTCGTGTAAGACTGACCCACAAGAGTGTCCCAGAAGAGTGTTCCACAAAAGTGTCCTACAAGAGTGTCATTTGGACATATGTAGCTTTTCGAACGTGTTTGCATTCGGGTTCGTGGGCTCCATCTTGTTTTTACCCATAGAAGAGAACATATTTCGTTCTATATACAAGTATTTGCATGTCTAGTGTTGAGCAGTGACTGACAACCCTGCAAGGCAGAGTTTGCGGCGATAGATGATGTCGGCCAATAAGGTAAGATTGGTAGCCAAAGTGCTCTGGCTTATCTGATAACTTCTTAAATGTCTTCACAGGCCTTGGTGGAGTGTGTGAAAAGGGAGGGGGGCTTCATGTTCTTCCTTGGCTGCGGGCTATCAGTCTGACACACTTGTTCTAGTGCTACTTCCAATGCTTTTATCGCACGGCTTGCAGCAATTGACAATCCGAAAAACTTGTTTTTTGTCAAGGGCGATGCTTTTCTGAAAAGATTGAACCTTGTTCCAGAGTTGCAGTCAAATTTCTATATATAGTATAATCTGAATATTGACAACTTGATGTGTAGCATTTCTGGCAGAGGAAAGAGCATCGTTAGGCAAAGCTTGGAAAGCATGTTCTCCTTAAGGATGCAAAGCGCAGCTGGCAAGTTCAATGGCCTTTGCTTCATGCACTGACCTTGCTTGCACCATATGTACTGATGTAACACACGTTGTGAGTGAATACGTTGTCCAGTTGGCTGTGGCTCAAGTTCAATCAAGATGCAGCGGAACATGCCGAGTAGGGCAGGAAAGCGTTTGCGTCACTTTGCTGCAGCGGTAGCTGCGTCCTCCGCCCACCGCTGGCTGCCCCACCTCGCATCCGGTGGATGCATGGCCACTCCCAGCTTGTCTCAGAGGGTGGACTCGGCGCGGAAGCTTCGTGAGGTCTACCGGCCGGGTTTCGCTTTCCCTCAATGGAGCTTGAATGCTTTGGAGAATGGCCAGCTTGAAGAGTTGGCTCCACAGGTGACCGTGTATTACCCGAAAGATGCAGATGTGGAAGAGGTTCAACAACTGGTCCGGCAGCGTGAGCCTGTGAATATTGCCATGGAACGATGCTATGATGAAGGTAAACTGGAAAGATATTTTGGTTACAGCAGAGGGGCCTACGACAAGAGTTCTTCAGACAGGCTTTTGCCCAATATTGCCATCTACTGCAAGACGCCCATGCAGTCCAAAGATGGACAACGAGAAGAAGTGCATGTGGTGAACGTGATTGGATTTGCGTTTGATACACCCAAGCAGCCAGACTATCAATACTTTGAAGGTGGGAACCGAGATCGCAGGGATCTCGTGAGAAAGATGAGTCACATGTGGGAATATGTTTTCTTTTGTGCCCAAGAGAAGGAATTGCAGCATGTGTTTCTATCCAACGTTGGTGGTGGTGCATTTTCAGCCGGCTTGCGCCACAACTACGAATCGCTGAAAAAGGAGTCTTTGGATCCTGTCTTGAGGCGATATCCGAACATCAAGATGCTTGATTTGCCTCGCATTCCTGATTGGATCTTCTCTGAAGGACGGAGCTTCTGCAACAACAGCTTGCTTGTGAATGCTTGGGATCCCTGGAGCATTGTAGGAAATGGCAATGCAGCCGACAACAGTCTGGACGGCTTTTTCGGCAGAAGCACTGCGATGGCCGTCTTGTGTTGGCCGGAGACGAACCCGTTTTTAGCCTATCGGTCCGTGCCCGCTCCCGATCCTCAGAACCAGAGGCAAGACGGCCAGCTGCGAAAAAATGACAGGCTGAGCAACGGACAAGTTGGACTGCCACTGAAGCTCTTAATGTAGAAGTCCCATGAGGGTCCTCAGGATCTTTGCTCCTTTGCTCCTTTTTATCTTGTTGTGTGAATGAACTGAGTGAATCCTTTTTTGCATTTTTCAAACCTGGATGGAATTTTGTGGAACGCAGATGTTTCTCAAGCAGAAGGCTGTTACAGCTGTGAATGCGTGGGACCATGGAAGAAGGAGACAGGCCAAAACTCAGGTACTTGCTGAATGGAGACGGAGCCTTGAATGTACATAGCAAATGATTTTGAAGAATTGTTGTCCACCTCCAAGTGTGCATGGCACATATGTCATATGTGTATGTCTATATTAAACAATATTGTCAAACGCACGCTCTGTCCCAAGTTCCATAGGTGTGAGCTCGAAAGGTCCATTTGGCCGGAAAACTGGGAGGGCCGGTGTGGGTCTTGAGAGGTGTCGCCATTTGCTGGAAGTGCAGGGGATTTGGTTTAAGGCAGCATTGGATAGAGCGGAGGGCGCTTGGAAGGAGAAAAGGCAGTGCTACATTGAGAGTGCAGGGCACCAGGTTTTTTCTTTGGGAAAAATTCAACCACAGGAGGTCTCCAATGCCAATTTCGATGGGTTGAGGTTCGAAGCTGGTAGCGGAGTCACCTGGCGATCAGTATTGAAGCAATTGCAAAGATGCCCACAGAAAGTTCCCAGCCACGCTGGACTTGGGAAGTTCTTCTGAACCAACTTTTGTCTTAATCCCAACCTTTTTGACCCGTTATTGACAACGTCCAGGAGTGGGCGCACAAGGTTGAGCTCTTAGTGAACGTTCGCAGTTGATTGAACTTGCCACCGCATCATTCTCACCACGACCGGCTCTGCAAGACAAGTGGAAGACGTATGATCAGCAGAAGAAATGGATGGCGATGTGCGGATACCTGCCTTGTGCTTGAGTTCCAGAGAGCTTTGCTGGACACGGGAATTGAATTGGTTTCTATGTCTCCTATCAGGACGATGGTCGTCGTCTTGGAGAAGACTCGTTCCAGGTTCTGTCCAGTGGAACCGGGAAGGAGGTAGGAAGATCGTGTTAAAGGGTTCAAGACTAATTGCATCGTCCACGCTCGGAAAGAAACCTATGACTTGTATTGGTCGAAGAATGTTTGGAAGTAGCCAAGCAACTTGTTCCCAGCCAACGCCAAACATCTTTGCTTGAAGTCATGTGCTCCAAGAAGCAAGTTGACCCGGCAGAAGTTGAAGCAAGGCCTAAGCGAGACCTGAAAACCACAATTGGTCGCAGAAACTTGTTTTGCCATTTTGCGCGAGATGGCCAGAAACTTTACGGATCGAGTATGAACAAAAAGTGAAAGTGAGTTCCATTGCGAGCTGCTCCAGGAATCGCGCGTGCGTTTTTGCCGTGTGTTTTGGGACTGCTCTGCCGAAGACGAAGCTGAGCACTTTTGATTTCTGTCGCGTGGGAAGCCCGCTGTGTCCGAGGAACTGACCACTGCGAATACAGGCAAGGTTTCTCAGCTCGCATGATGCGCGCCCTCCAAGGCGCAGGAGGATCTTTGCATGTGCTTCCGGACCAGAAGCCGGCGCCAATGCATAGAAACGAGGGACCAGAACTAGCTAAACCAAGTGCAAACCAGCTGGATAGGGATTTCGGAGTCATAGTGACTGCCGATGGCGTAAATTGAGCGACCAGGGTAACAACTCTTTATATATGCCTTTTTACGTTGTGCAAAGTTCCTTTGACCATATTTCCCAAGATGCCGTCGAAGCTGTCCTTCATGGTTGGAGTTGTTGGGCAAGACCTCCTGGAAAGATTCTGGCCGATGCAGGAAGTGAGTTTCGCGCGATGCCTGCCATACCTTCTTGCACGAACATGATGTGAAATTCAGGACGATCGCTTCAGCAGTTCACCGGCAAAAGCATTCCGCCCCAAACGAACCACTGGTCAGGGCGCAAAGTTGTCTATTTACTGTATCTGGAAAGTTGGGTAGAAATCAGGGTTCAATTTGCAGTGAAACCACCACCTCATCACAAATCAGTTCGCGTTGAAAGATGCAGCAGAAGGCCTTCATTTCCGAAAGACCTGTTGTGAAGATGACAAAATAGTGATCCCCAAAAAGATAGAAAAGTTGCATCCTGTAAAAACTGGGTCAATTTCCCATCGCAGCTAGCTTTTCTATCTTTTGTCTCGTGATGCTATATGCGCAAAACCGTTAAAGAAACGTAGGGTGACCGCTGTCATACGCGCGCAATCTTGTAAATACTAGGGAGAAACAAAGGATATGCAGAAAAGTTACATCCTGGAAAGTGTTAGTCGGCTTACGGCTTAAAGCAACTTCAAAACAAATTGGGCCCAACGTGACAGACTTTCTCAGCAAAAGCTGACAACCTCCTCGTGGTCTTTGTGAGCCTATGGCAAAGGTGCGAAAGTCAGACCAAATATGACGAGCTTTAGTCTCTTGTTGATACTCTGCTGTGTGAATCCAGTTGCAGCTGACGGTTCAAAACTGCAGCGGGAAAACGAAACAAGAGAAGCCTTAGTTTGCTTTGCGTGGCTTTGTGGCCTGCTGACCTTTGCAATCCTGTGGGGTTGGTTGACGACACCGAATTTGCGCTCCAATGACGCCAAATGCATTCGGAGTGCAAATAAGAGGACAAAAAGCAAAACGGAAAAGACATTCAGAAGTTTTGCTGAACCTTTTTTCCTCCGTGACCGTGTGGTTTTCGTCGCAAGGTTTGTGGGGAAACAGAGGAAACCAGCTGTTCATAGAACAGCTTTGCGCTACAGACGGAGAGCATCGCGTCTGAGATGCTGCCGGCTTGCGTACAAGCTTTCGTACAAACCACGCCTGAGAAAGAAGAAAACCTTTCGCCCATCCAGGCAGTTGACTCGCATTGGTATTTCGCTTCCTGTGATTGACTTGATTGATACATATGTCCCACCGATACCTGAGTGTGAGCACTCCTTTGCATCTAGAGAAGCAATTCCTCACCGTTGGCTTGCGGATTCCTCTCTTCCCCCGAGAGGGTGCGGCAAAAACACATGCCGAATCATTCACTTCCACCGCTGCGGTCGGCAGGTCCAAAGTCTTCACTGACCTGCAGGGTGATATGATACGGGTTAGACGCAGCGCCAGAGCCTGCTGAGTTGGCTGGCGCATGTCCAGGAGCAGACGCTCCTGCAGCGTTACGGCCGAGTAGTGCCGTCGATAGGTGCTGTAGCAGCTCAAAGGCTGCAGCGCCGTGATGCCTATGTGGTGCATCACATTGACCGAGGTTTGTGACAGACGTTCTCCCATATACCAGCGCGAGACAAAAGATAGGCAAGTTCAGATGGTATCAAGCTCTTCTATTTCCCGGCTATTTGCGCAAAGTTTTTCAGCTAACGTTTTCCAGAACGTCGACGGCCAAACCGGGCTAAATTTTCCAGGACGTTTACGTCCTGGAAGCACTTTTCTACAGACTAGGATCATTCCCCGCTTTATCCACCGTTGTAGATGCAAGGCCTTGAAGAATTAGCGCGGCTTGAAGAGACACTGCAAACTGGAACAGAGGGAAGGGCTTGCTTTGTGGACTTGGCAAAAGCCTTAGCTGTCTCAGACGATCCTCCAATCTGCAGACCTCGTCAAACCAGCGTGAGAGCGGAGCAAACGAAGGGCCAGATACAGAACCATATCAGGCACTGACAGCCTCGATGTGAGGTGAACTATTGTCCGTCCTTCGCAGATCAAGATCTACCACCTCCAATTGCGGAAAGCGCCGCCAGAAAAGATCCCAGTGCCAGAAAGTGACGATGACCTCTGCTGTTGCTTCTGTCGCCCCCAAGACCAGATTGGGAGGTTTGAGGTAGAGTCCTGACTTCTGGCTCCTCGACCGATCTATGGGCAATGAGAAGATAAGACCTTGGGCGTGCTTCCACTTCCACCGGCGTTTTCATATTGAAGGGCGAACTTGAAGTAGAACACCCCAACCAACCCCTACCAACTCCTGACAGAAAGCGTGCAGAAACTACAAAGCAGAAAGACCGACTTGTTGACAGATTTCAAGCGTCTGTATGATCTAATCAACGGAACCCCTCTCCACCCTAGGTTCAAACGTCGTTGGAAGGCAGTGGGTCGCAAAATAGCCCAGCCGCAGGGTGTCTTTTTGAGATGGGCATCAAGTGTCCAGACTGCACATCGCCTAAAGCAAATTCTGGGTGCAGCCACGCTCACAGGATCTCGCGTGGCATGGTAGTTTCGAAGTCATCAAAGCCCACAGCAGGAAGACCTAAGCAGTTGATAGGCAAAATGAAAAGCCAAGACGCTCTGGGATCTCAGACAGAGTGAAGCCACTTTTTGTGCTCAACGTGTCCATGTGCCATTCCAACTGTGAGCCGAAAACGACGCTCAAAATAGGTTGGTTTGAAGTTGAGAACCAAAACGCATTGTCCCGAAACAATTTCAAGCTGATGCAAATGGCAAAAGCTGCTTCAAGGGATAGATTGTTTTGTGTTGGCTCGGCAGTGGTGTGAGAAGCTATCTGAGGGCAGCTTTCCAGTGGCCACGGGAACGTATTGGACATATAGAGAATGTCAAATGCATGCTCGGTTACGTGTGAACTCAGAACCCGCTTCGGCCGCAAGATTGGAAGGGCTGGGGGTGGGTCTTAAGCGGTGTCGCCGTTTTCTGGAGTGAAGGGCATTTTGCTGAGGAGCTTGGAAGGATAAAAGGCTGTGCCTCGTTGAGGGTGCAGGGCACCAGGTATTTCTTTGAAGAACATTCATGTTGCACGTTGTGTTTTGGTTGGAGCCAGCCACCGGAGGCTTGCAATACCAGTTTCGATCCGTTTCAAAAGGTTGAAGATCGAAACTACTTTTCTAGTTTGAACTGTGCTATACATGACGTACAGGTTTTGATATATCCAAAGAAGCTGCGGTGGTAGAATTGTTTGGAAAGATTGAAGAATTCAGTTCAACGAAGGTGAAGAGTCTATCCTACAGGAACTACGACGCCAGTTGTGTGAGATGCGGGATTTCCTTGAGATCGAACTTTCCCATCATAGAGAGGTCCTGGACAATCTCAACAACCAAACGGCGAAGGCATCATTTCAATCGGCTTCCCGTGATGAGCAGTCGGAAGAGCAAGTGGATGAGAGTGAATGTGAAATTGAGGAAAGACAAAGCAACACGTTCTCCAACGATGTGGTTCAAACTGGCGAAAATATTCCCGCTCAAGCTGAGTCTGGTGGGCGGAGTTCCTTTGTAGAAGCTGCACTGCTTCCCATTAAGGCAAAAGCCCAGATGCAATCCTACAAGTTACGAGTCAGCAAAAATGCAGTTGCTGCGCGGCAGGAGGTTCTTGAAAAAACTTGGCGCACAAAGGTGAACGACACAGTCTTTTCGCCAGGTTTTTCTGGGTTCATTACCGTGCTAATCCTGGTGAATGTCATTCTTCTCGGTGTTGAAGTTGACGTCTCTGCTTCACTGGAATTGTCTGAGGTGCCCAGTTGGTTTGGCACAGTCAATGCAATCATCGTATTTGTGTTTGTTATTGAAATAGGCCTGAAACTGTTTGCATTGGGATGCCGAGAATTCTGGCGGGGCCGTGACGCTACATGGAATATCCTGGATTTTGTGATTGTGTCCATTTCGGTGGCTGATGTTTCTCTTGACCTTTTGGCGCACATGCTTTCCTCTTCGTCTCTGAACACCGGCCATTTGCGGCTGGTGCGATCGATCCGCTTGGCCCGTGCTCTTCGAGGCGTGAAAGTCGTACGTATCTTCCGCTACATCACTGCTCTGCGAACATTGGCTTTGTCCATCATCAGCACGATGGGTTCTTTGTTTTGGACTCTGATGCTGTTGATCATGGTGTTTTACTTCTTTGCGGTGGTGATTACCCAGCTGGTCACAGACCACTGCCGCAACTTAAGGAGTGAAACTGATGCGAAATGCTCGGATCTACTGCAAAAATACTGGGCTTCTGTTGGCGAAAGTGTCTTGCCACGATTATATTCTATTTCGGTTGTGTTTTTCCGGCGAAAGGGTGTTGGAGTCTATACTTCCTGATCGGGTCTGCCATCAGCATGAAGACATGGATTTTGAGGGGTTTCCCTTTCCTCTCAGTTCCTTCTGACTCTTGTCAATCTCCTTTGCTTCTCCTTCGCTGTCACGGATCTCTTAGATTCGTACATCTCGTCATTGCTGTATTCCCTTTGCCAAATTTAAGATGTTGACTTAAGCAAATGTGTTTGTTTGCAGGAGCACAAGGGGAATGTGAATGGGGCGAGCTATGCCGAATGTTGCAATAGTTCAAGGTGACCACTACAACAAACACTTATTGTCCTGGCACACCCATATGCCACATACCAACATAAGTAACACTTATTCCAAACACGGCCACATGGCTGGGATTTTGAGGACGTACAAGTTTTTTTGCAATTTTTTATTTGGTGCTGTGTGCAACCAAGGGCCAGTCCTCATTGCCCCATTAAACTGTGAAAGGGGCGGGGTGTCCCTCATCTCTGACAGATTTGTCAAGTTCAAAGTGATGACCGTCATTGCGCCAGAATACATACCGCTTGATGCGGTTGATTGGCTTAGGACTGCAAAAAGCACCCGGTGTGTCAATGTGTTGATCATTGAATTGTCCACCGGCTGTCTGAATGTGTTAAAGGCTGCAAACCCCCTATTGCTTTTGGAGTGGAGACGATTCATGTCTCGTTTCAACTCCCTGATGCCACCCGAAAGGAAATCTGAACGATTCATCGAGGGACGATGCTACCCTATGTATACATGTATAATTGTATATAGATTTGGGACACGCCTTGTGAGTCCCATCCAATTGAACATTCTCAACCATCTCAATGTGTCCAGAAGTCTTTCTTCCTTTTCCCCAGATAGCGAAGCTATGGGGTTCTTACTTCAAATAACAATGAGTTGCCCGTGCGCGCGTTCGAGACAGGTTGCTGGTGCTGGTGCCGGGTGCCGGTGCTGGTGCTGTGAGCTGGCTGTGCACGCTGGTGTTGTGAGCTGGCTGCGCGCGTGGTGGAGACAGGTTGCTGGTGCTGGGCGCCGGGTGCCGGTGCTGGTGCTGGTGCCGGGTGCCGGTGCTTTTGCTGTGAGCTGGCTGTGCACGTGGTGGAGACAGGTTGCTGGTGCTGGTGCCGGGCGCCGGTGCTGGTGGTGCTCGTTGTGTGCGTGGTGCAGAGTGGGTGCTGGTGCCGGGTGCTGGCGCTGGCTGTGCGCGTAGTGGAGACACGCCACGCTCTATTGCATGTAAAAATTGGAGCTGCTGCCAATGCAGGGTGCAGCCCATGTTTTGCATGCTTTTGCTATCTGGGGTCTATGTTGGAGTAATTTCTTGTGGCAGAACGACAAGACTAGTCCTTGTTCAGGCATGCTTGCTTTTTGCAGGGGTGGATCTTTCTCTTCTCAATCCCTTCAGATACAAAACCCCCCGGACCGACCTTCTCCCGCCACTCAGCCCATCCGGCCTTCGAGGCATGCTGACACTCTTCATGGCGATCACCAACGGTGTGAGCTGGGATGATGCGATTCGCCCGCTCCGAGAGTTTTCTTACGTCGCCGTAGCATTTGTGTGTGCCTATATAACAATCGCCGTGTTTGCCATACTCAACGCTTCTTGGTTTGCAATCAATTCAGCAGAAATTGCTTCGTGCTCTGACGATTCTTTTGCTCTGCTTACCGGACCCAAGCTCTATGAACAAAATTCTTCCTGCAATATGCAGGGGCTGCATTTTTGCATGGCTGACCATTTTTAGACAAAGTCTTTCCCACCACGACTCCGAACAAGAATGTCAGAGTAGTTTCACACAGCCAATGAATGAACACTTGCTACACACGAAGAAGGCTGCTCGGGCATGCTGACAGACAAACATTCCAGTCAAAATACACAGATATTGCCGGCGAAAGGCGGAGATAGATCATGGAGACGCTGTAAGACGCCCACAATTAACACTGAGGACATGCTACAATTCCTAGTACGCAAAACAAACTCTTTGTCCATGTGCTTGTCTTGGACAAGCCTGGCATGCCAAGCTTGAAGCCGCAAAATGACCGAAATGTACTTTTCAACTCGCTAGTAGGTTTGAGGCCATCGCTAGTAGGTTAAAGAAGATTGACTACTGCAGGCACAAGTGCCCAAGTGAGTCACGAGTGTGGTTGTGCGATGTTTTGTTTGGGAAATCTTTTTGGTCATGCGCAACCAAACCTCGACTCCAGTGAAAACCGATCAATCCCTGGAATTGTTACTGTTTTTGTTGCAGAACGCACATTAGACTTGTTTGGCCAAAGCTTCTTCTGTGAATCAGTAGTTTTGACAAAAGTCCTGATTCTCTCATGCGTTGTTTGCATTTTCACAAGAATCTGACTTGGTTTGCAAAGTCGTCCTCATCAATTGTGCATTTCATCCCTCGAGAGAGTGTCTTGCATCTTGCTGTTGTGTGTTCTTGTGATATCACACTCCTTTTTGGCCATGGGCACCATGGTAAGAAGAATACTTGACCTGTGGACATTAAAAACATGTTTTGGCATATCATATCACATGTTTCTCTGACGTTTCTGGATGCCTACTGTTTAAACTTGTTTGGACTTTCTTCAGCTTTGTGTTATGGACGTTTTGGCGCAAAAACATAGCTGTTGGGTTCCTCTCTTTGCACTGGATCTGTACCCTTGCTTGAGGCACTTGAGGCTCGATCACTTGCTTTCAGCAATCTTTCATTGCTAATTTTGATTTTGGATTGTTCTTGGATCATGTTTGTTGATGTTCTAGCTGAGGTTGTTACTGGCGTGTCTGACTTACAATAGTCAACTTTCAACCTTTTGTTGAGTCCTTTTCGTGTCGGTTCTTCCCCAAGATGCTCAGCTTTCTTTTGCCAAGTGATCTACCAAGCCAGGTTTTCTGCAATACCGCCATAGAGTCCGCCCACGCAGACAAAGAAGTGGCGACCATCAAGCAAGTCCACACAAAGGATCAACAGGCGGAAGACTACTGAGAGCAAGAAGCTACTGGGGCTCCTGGCCTTACTACTAGGAGCAAGAAGCTAGTAGGGGCTCCTGGCATCGCTACTAGGAGCAAGAACGCTACTAGGGGGCTCCTGGCCGTACTACTACCGAGCTGTTTAGACCCTTTGGCTACGACCGAGCGAACGGACTGCGTTGCGGGACCTGGGACCTGGGACCTGGTCAGGTGGAAGCCTTGCGCTCGGTCTTCCAAGAAATTGACAGCACCCACTCGAGTGAGATGAGCTTTCAGGTGGGGATGTGAGCGAACGTGCCAAATCCAACCTGACAGACTTTCATTCCAAGCTGGATGACTGAAGTGGATGACTAGCAGTTGTTTGCTCTCCTTTTTTGAAACCAAAAGCCTGAGGAAAAAGTTCTGTAAAGAGTACTGGATTTTTGAATCACTGCATGACAAACTCCTCATCTGAGACGCATCAGGCTTTGTAACGGATCTTTACTTTTTCGCAGACTATTGGGAGGAAACATGTGTTTGGTTTTGCATTGGCATGGACGAGCTTATCCAAGAACATAGTGATGTGTGATGCTTGGAAGTTGGCCGACATGAGTGTTTGATGATTTTGTGTACGAGTATCAAGGCTCTGTAATGGCAATCCAGTAGTGTCAAGACAGGTCTTCCAAGGTTTATTGGATTCCTGGCCACCATATTTTAGTTGAGCGCAGTGTGTTGATCCATTGCCCCCTTCTCGATTCTTTTCTCTTGGAGACAACCTTGATAGGCTATTTCTTCAATCCAACACATATTGTATCATGCACATGTACACGTGCTTTCGCAGACATCTTTTGGAGAAATACACACGCATACTGGTACCATCGCATTTGCATGCTGCATCGCATTTGCAATGTTCGTATTTTGGTGGCACGTGGCCGGAAGATGTTAAGCCTTCATTTTTGCAGGGTCCTGTTAAGCCGAAGATGGGGGCTAAATGTCCACTTGGTTGGTTGAGCACTCATATGACTGTTTGAGCACTCTCTTGCTTATCTCAGCTTTGACAGCTTGAGTGGGTTGGATTTAACTTTTGCTTGCTCTTTCGCACTCTGACCCTGCGTTTTATTTTCCTGCCGTTTCTTTTTCCTGGTGCCGAGATGTTCGGATTGCTGTGGCGCACTTGCCGTTATATAATAGATCAAAGCAATGGTAAAGGCCCCCAGCTGTTGGCTTTGCGATGTTTAGATCAAGGCACGTGCCCAGATCAAGGCACATGCCGGAAGTGTCTGATTCGCCTTGCAGGACGTGCAAGATGCCATTTCGAGTGGTGAGCTTTCCAGCTTTATGGAAGCCATGGGCATCTCCACAGATGACATCTGGACCGCAGATTCAAAACCACGAGCAAAACAGATTCATGAACTAAGTTTACTTCGACATCGTTTTGTGGTGAAGACATGGTGCATATGTTCGTTTTCCGACTGCTCATGACTGTTCGTCGGTTCTCAGTCAAAAGAATGACATGATTTTGTTGCCTGCGATGCCATGATGTTGTGTTCTGGTCTCCTGACTTGGATCCTGTTCCATTTCAGACAGCTTAACTGTTGAGGTTCTTGGTTCTTTCATGGGAAAGCCATGGGAATGCCAGGCGTGTGTTGGAACTTAGAGGTAAGTGAAACCTTTGGTGAGTGGCTGTGCTCGTAGGGTTTTTTGGCCCTGGCCTAAGGGTGTGAGTTGGGGGGTGGCCCACAGATGGTGAATGTTAGATTCACCTTAGTTTGTGCGGCTGCAGCTCATGGTTGGTGGTTCGCACCGAACGCCACGGAGGTGATGGGTGAGGAACCTCCTACTGGCTGGCGAAGCCGCTTCAAGGCGGCATTTCCGGCTTGGGGCGAGCGATGGGAGAAGGTGGAGACAGAAGCCACCTCCTTCTACGCCTGGGCAGCTACAGGAGTAGAGGGAATGGACATCACCTCGTTCGACACAGGCCTATGGCTACTGGTGGACACGGTGGTGGGGCTCCTGGGGTGGTGCCTCTTCGGGTCATCGTGGCCCAACGTGAGAACCGGCTGCCGTAGGGTCATGCAGATCTCGTTGGTGCTCTGCGTGTCCCTCGTGGCCCACTACATCTGGGCCGTGTGCTATCCAGTGGTGTCCCTCTTCGTGGGCCTGGGGATGGCGCTGATCTGGCTATGCCGCAAGCTACTGCGGGTGCTGGGCGCCTCAGTTTTTTGGGTCCAGCGGATCACCGGGGCTTCCCCGAAGCTTCGGAGGCAGAGTTCCACGGACCGGGCACTGGGAGGACCCCTGAGACATCGCAGCTCAGGGCATTCAAGAGAACAGGTGATGCCAGCAAGATGATCGTGGTCAAGCGCAACGACGAGGTCGCGGTGTTGCAGGTGGGGGCGGAGAGTCAGTCCATCAAGGCCCACGGCCTCTACGTTCCAGTGGAGCCCGGCGCGGTAAGGGGATCAATGAGCCTGGTGAAGAAACTCAGGGCGGTTGATCGAATCCATCTTTGCCGCAACGAAGCTTGCGTGGAGGAAGGTGGAGAGCACTTGTGTTCCAGGCACTCCGCCAAATACATGGTTGAACGGTATAAGGATAAGTGTAGTGTCACTTCATGTAAGCGGGTTGGTTCTAAGTTCCATCATGGTGTCTTGTGGTGTGCCGAGCATGAGCCCCGGACAGCGCTTCGGACTCCAACGCCGCCTTCGCAAAAAGCTGACTATCTCCTCGCGGTCTTTGCGGGCCTATGGCAAAGGTGCGAAAGTCAGATCAAATGTGAAGAGCTTGAGAATCTTTTTGATACTCTGCTTTGTGATTCCGGTTGCAGCTCATGATGCAAAACTGCAGCGGGAGAATGAAACAAGAGAAGCCTTGTTTTGCTTGGTATGGCTTTGTGGCCTGCTGACCTTTGGAATCCTATGGGATTGGTTGACTCCAATGACGCCAAATGCATTCGGAGAGCAGAGAAAAAGAAAAACGCAAAAAAGAACAGGAATTCGTAAGCTCAGCTTCACCCTTTGTCCTCCGTGACCGTGTGTTTTTTGTCGCAAGGTTTGTGGGGATCCAGAGGAAACTAGCTGTTCGACAAACAGTTCTGCACTACAGACGGAAAGCATCACGTATACGCTGTCGCAAGCTTGCGTACAAGCTTTCGGACAAGCCACACCTCAGAAAGAAGCGGACATTTCGTCCATCCCGGCAGAAGACTCGCAGTGGCTTCGTGCTTCCTGTGATGGACTTGATTGATACTTTGGTTCCACAAACCTCTGAGTGTAAGAGGTTTTTGCTTCTAGGGACGCAGAAGCAGGTTGGCCTCAGCTCAGTCAGGTACTCAATGAACCTTGGGTTGCGCGCAACGAACCATTTGTGCCATGGCAACCTAGCAGTTTTCGCGATTCCTTTTTGGGAGGTGCAGGTGGAGCTCATACCACCCAAAAGAAACGCAAAGAACAATGCAATTCTGACAGTCCGACTTTGGCCGAAGTCTTGACCTCAGCTTTGCAAACTTGGAAGAAAACTCAGAAGGCATGTGGAGGCAGTAGACATGAAACTGCTTGGAAACGGCGAAAACGCCGTTCGCCAGCCATCTTCCAGGGCCAAGATGAAGATGCCTGCCAGCGTGGCAACGACCTCAGGCGACACCGGCAGGGATCTCGGGGCCTTCCCACTGTGCCACATGAAACACCTTCAGACCTTAACAAATAGATATTTTGCATCGCGCAAGCCGAGGCTGAACGCAGAATCCACAGTGGTTCTTCCCACCGTCGGAAGATCGTGAACCATACTCTGATACTGGCTTGGCAACGAAGTTGCTCCAGCTCCTGCAATCATGTCAAGCGAAAAAGATGGCAGATTCTGAAGTTGCAGATAAAGTGACTAAGGTTTTGCAATTCACAAGCCCAACCGAGGTGGCGCGACCAGACGTACTCCAGTTCTGTTCAGAACGCCCGATCGACTCGATGGCGCCAAGGACATACATCACAGCAAGTTGCAAATTCGTCACACGCGCAAATTGCAATCGCTACCTTAGTGAGTTCTGAATGGACTCAACCACCAATCCTCAAGCCTTTGACTTTGATTTGTCAAAGCAATAAAGAAGGTAGAGCTCTTGAGGGTAATATCGTAGAAGTTAGCGCGCCTGCTCAACACCAAACCATCACGACGCTTTGGAATAGTTATGGGTGCGAAGGTCATTTGACTTTGTTGTGCACTCACAAGAAAAAGAAGAATCTTGGCAAACCAACCAGGGTTCGACTCTCCCGTGGCAAAAGGACCCCTCCATATTGAAGAAGTTGCTTTGGAAGTTTTTGGTGACCAAAAAGATGCTGTTTGGACCAAGCCCACCATCGCTGTGGAGAAAGGTAGTGTCACGGTAGTCACAAGATGTAGCGTCCGCATTGCCGCGCCTCTTGAGTTCAGAAAGCATTTTTCGCCAACAGATCGAGACAAGCCCAGTTCAGTGGTGGCATCTCTGGCTCAATGGACATCTGTCAGTTCCTGATGATGAAGGTTACAGTATATTTCCTGTATTCCGGCTCCAACCAAACAGACATATGCAACTTGGCAAAAGTCAGTTCGCAACACCTGGCCAGGGAGTCAGGAAGACCATAAGCGCAAAAGCCAGGCGCAAGCTGAGGGGGAGGCTCCAAAAACTCGCGTTCAAACTCATGTGCCAACCACGCAGATTGACTCGTCCCAGCCTTCTCAAAATGATGCCGAACGTGCTCGCAGTCGCAACCCTGCACGGAAGAAAGAACAAGTTGACTCTCCGGAAAGCTTCGAATCGTTCGTGCCTTGCATTCCCACTTCGCCTGTTGAGTGTCTACAACAAAAGTGGGAAGAACAAGACCTTGGTGGCGACGGTGACTTTTTTACCGAAGTGTCGCTGCTTGTTTGCACAAATCGGCGGGAAAGACTGATATTTTCATCAAAGATATGGCCCGTTTGGCGGGCACCGAACTCCGTACTTGAGTGGTGCAACATGCGCAGAAACACAAACAGCGACTGACTAGCTGGTTTGCTAGTGATTCTCACGAGTCTCCAGTTGAGGGTATAGACCCCCTGCCAAGAACATAGATGAATGGATCAAGCTTCAACAACATCACACAACCTGGGCAGATGGACTGTCCATTCAGTGCCTTGCAGAAAGATGCGGCCAAGTGATCAAAGTTTTTCGCGAAAAAGATGGGATTTGGGAACGTTTCACTTTTGCTCCAGGTTTGAAGAATGATGCTGCCTTGGCTAAAAAGGGCAAAAAGCCACTTGTGGTGACTCTTGCTGAGAAGCACTACAAAGCGCTGCATCCTCCTAGTGATGTTGGCATTCCCAAGCCTTGGCCTTGGCGTTTGAAGACGGCAGTGTCCTTCATCATTGATCTGACAGGTGCTGGTAAAGAATGCCTTTCTCCGAGCCCTGCGTCCCTGTGTAGCTTTCGTACTCGATCGGTTCGACTGCCTCGAGGATCCCCACACTTTGTCAAGCAATGCAGTGTGGCTAGTCACACTCCTTCCAAATTGTGCAGTGTGGGTAGTAAGACTCCGAATAGTTTGCATTCCGTGCTCAAGAGCGCCTCCAAAGCACGCACAGTTCAAACCAAGAGTTGTAGGTATGTTTCGCGGCCGTCCGCGCCAAGCTCTCAGACCAGTTTGACCTCTGGGTTAAATGGTGCTGCAGTTGGGAAGGGCCGCCCGCGTCAGCGGCTGTTTGGCAAAAAGCCAAACCCTCATGCCCCAGGATCATCGGAGCCTCACATTCTTGGAACGCATCGGCTGGCCTTCAGCTTTGGTCTCGCAGATGCGACAAGTTTGGAGCACCAGCCGGTTCATCGAATATGACGGACATGTGCACTCGGAAATCTTGAAGAGCAATGGTGTCCCGCAGGGCTGTCCTTTGGCGCCGCTCACATTGGCGTGTTGGATGACGGCAGGACACAGAAGCGTCAACACTCTCCTGCATCAGCGCTTTGGTTTCTCCCAGAGAGAGGTCAACGAAGCAGATGTCGCATCTACATGGACGACAGGTCTTGGGTCGACAGTGATTGCGACCGTGCTTTGTGCCGTGCCCAGGCTTGGAATCTTTGGAGCGCTTCGGTGGGTTTGACCGAAAACATGCACAAAGCCCAGATGCTGGCCAAGACTCGGCCGCAGGCCCAGAGGCTTCTTTTTGAGCACCCTGATTGTTTTAGGGAGCACGCTGCCAAGGTCTTGGGTTGTAGTATCCGAGCACATCCGGCTGCGGATACGGCCTCGGAATCTGGTAGGATTGATGCAGCAGTCAACCGGGCAAGGCTTTTAGGATGTTTGCCGGCGCCTTACACCAGACAACTTGATCTTTACCGAACGTATGTCCTTCCCAAAGCCTGCTTCGGGTGGATCAATCGTTTTCCACCACAGAACACTTGCAATAAGCTGTTCAACGCTCTGAGTCAAATGTCTCGAAAATATCGTATGGCCAGTCCTTTGACCAGAGCTGTGTTGTATGGAGGCAATTCGCACTTGAGCATGGTCACCGCTGTCCGTTTCTTGAAGCGACTCTGCCGCGTGCGGCGCAAACGTACAGTGATGTGGAGTGACCTGCCTGGCGCTCCAACCAAAGCCTTTCGTCAGTGGATGCAACAGTGTGACTGGATTGAAACTGGCCCTTGGACTTGGACGCGGCAGCCACTCACGCTGCGTGTGCCTGCCAACGGTGAAGCCGACGTGGCGGCGCACCAACTTCGTGACGCTTGGCGCAATTCTCTCATCCTGAAATGGAGCAAAGCACCCCGGCATGAAGCCCAGCAGTGGCAGAATGAAGCCAGCTTGGCGATCTGTGGAGCAGTCTGGACAGGACTCGGAAGCGAGCGGATGGAGCGTGGTGGATGGGGGCTTGTCCCTCCCCTGTCAGCTCTTCGATTTCAAAAACGCCACATGGGCAATGCTCGAACCATTCCACACCGGCGAAAGGGGCCCGGGCTCAGTACATGGTGAACATCGAGGACGTGATCGTCGCAATGAGGTGGAGGAGAAGAAGCCAGTCCCGCAGATCGTCCACGGCTATCCAGAGTCAGACGGCCGAGCTGGGTTTTGGGTAGGCGCCCTGCCAACAGGTAGTAACATGGAGGACCTTGTTCCTCTTAAAGCAGCAGACTCAGGATTATCACTTTGAATGCTCAAGGATGCCCAGGTGCTTGCTGCCCTTCGGCTTTGCGAGCTAAAGCTAAAGCCTTAGGTTCCGAGCCTTCCAAAGAAGCAAAAATCGCACAAACTTTTCTTGCACCACGCAACTGCAATGTGTTCCCATTTTGGGACCTGTGCTTTCGCGACGGCCGCTGCAGCCCCCCGAGCCTAATTTGCGTTGGTTGACCAGATCACAGGCCTTCCACCCTCAAGTGGATGCAGGTGCAACGGGACCCATCTACCACCTTGGCGTAAGCCATAAAACGCGTGGCTTGGTCACTACGATCTCTTGGCGGAAACGTTTGGTTGTGATTGGGTTTCCTCTTGTGTTCTAGCCTCGAAAAAAATCATCCCTCTGCAACTTTTCTCTTCTTAGGGGTGGTGGGAGTTTTGTGGGTCCTCATATGAGATGAAGGGTCTCCAGGGGTGGGCGCGAAATAAATTTTGGACCGACCTGCGACTGGCGCGAACATTTGGAAGGTGACGCCTGAATCCACCCTATGTGAAACCCAGCGCCAAGACAAGTACACATGTGAATTAGCACGTGGTTGGTTGGAGCGGTCCTTCTTGGACAAAGTTTGAACGGTAGCAGCAGTAGCGGTCTGTTTCAGGAGCATTAAGGGGTCCTGTTTACCGATACGGCGACCACCATCGGCCATGTCAACATGGCGCAAACGCAAATTTAAAAGAATTAAACGTCACGCATCCAAATCAGCCTTTTCACCACATTGCCTTGAACCGGACACTGTGACTCCACCTGTGGTCCCATGGGGCGCTCTGGTCCGGGGCCTCGGAGAGGCGGCCGCTCCTCATGGTGTCGGCGGTGGCTCTGGCTACTGACTTCAGTCTGGTCCCACTGGCGGAGCAGGGCCGGAGGCACCTGGACCTTTCCGGGATGGGCAAAGGTCGCTTGGGGGCGGAAACCATGCGGCTGCCGCAGCTGCAATCGCTGCAAACAGGTTTCCTCGAAGGTTCGCTAAGACTTCTCGACTTCTCGAGGCATGCCTCTCACCGTCCACAAGACAAGCTGGATTTCAGATCGCAAATGGGTTGAATCTGACTTTAACCGTTAACCTTTTTCTCGGACAGTTATTGTCTGTCTTCCCTGTAGCTTGCATTTGGTTGCCAGCTGTTGCCGGGCCAGTTTCCTTCTTTGGATTAAATTTAGAGTCATCCTATTTGGTTTCACCATCCCATCAGTCATGAGCTCAGAATTGAATCTTTGCTATTTCCCATGTCTTTCCGTGGCTCAGGGGGCTCACATTCAGGTTTAACCTGATTCCATCAGACATGGGCCATGACTTGATTTCAAACCATGTAGAAGTATCAGTGTTCAGACAAGGTTAGCTAGATTCAAATTTGAGCCATAGTGGCATTGTCAGGGAGGAGCTTAGACTTAAAAACCATCACTACTGAATGGATGGGGACCAACCATAAAGCCAGGTTAAGTCGAAGTTTAAGCCTTTCTTGAATCTGAGAACCATCCCATCCCCAGCGTCCACTGAGCATTACGGCGCTTGCTGAGCATTCGGCTGCGTAGAAGTGTTAGGACAAAATGGTTCGCGCGCAATGGCGTGCAAAGTACTGTTTCAGACGAAGTTGTGCCTTGTTTCTCAGATAGAGATAGGCAATATTTTGTTCCAGAGAAAGGCAGAATCTCAAACAAACCTGCATTTGACAGGACTTTGTGCATGCTTTTGGACGCCGACAAGAACGGCCGGATCGACTTAGATGAGTTTGTTTCGGGCTGCATGCAGTTGCATGGACCCGCGAAAAGCTTGCAGTTGGCAAAGATGAGCATGGAAAATAAGTTTCTGGGCTACAAGTGTCAACCATATTTCACGGGGACTCCCAAAACCTTTTCTTTGCTTCTGCCACGCTTGCCAAGTTTTTGGGGCTACACAAATACTACACAAACCAGTTGCTCGGAACAGCTTGCTAGACTTGCATGTTGGGACGGTCCTTGGAATCGATTCGGTCACTGCCAAGGTTGACTCGCAGGGCGATCAGGACCCTCACCGAGGTGAGGGGGTCCATCTCTGTGTGTGTGGGTTTGACCGCACCGGCGCGGTTCGCGTGGCTTGTACAGTCTGAAGTGGATGGGTTCATTTGACTTCAATAAGTCTGTTTCTGGATTCTTTTTTCCAAGAGTCCAACATGTTCTGCCTTGTTCCTTTGGCCTTTTGGTGACAGGAGATGTTGGATTTGAAAAGTTCTTTGAGGGGCACAAGATCTGCCGCCGCCCCTCGACGAGAGGTGTTCTGAGATCTCTGAAGTCATGATATGCATTCTTTCTTAGCACTTTTGAAGGAGAATCCTTTCTAAAGCAAAGTTTCACGTGTCATGTTTGAGTTTCAGCATGTTGGCTTGGATTTCCTCAAAGAGGATCCTTCCTACTTTGATTGAATTGCAAAAAATACTTTGAGCGGATGATGCAGCTGCGCAGAATTGGGAGAATGATACGACTCGCTCGATTGTGTGCAAATGTGTTGCCATCCCTGACTCAATGACATTTCAACACAACATCGCTTAGCCGGTTCCCATCCAGATGTTTCAGCTCGAAGAAGGTAGAGAGTGAGTAGAGGGATCCAACCATGAATGAAGTGAGAGTGTCAGAATCAGAAAGCATTGGAAGCTTGTCCTGACAGGGTTGGATTCTTTTATGTATTTTCAAAACGATGATTGTGTTTTCAATGATCGCAGCAAGCACCGTGTGTTGGCACTTTTGACGCTCAGGCTTGGACCTGCAGAGTGGATTTCGAGAATTGATCAAACAGTTCGCAGAGATGCGTGAGTTCTTGGAAGTGGAGCTGGCTGTCCACCGTGACCTTTTGGAAAGAGCAGGCAGTGGATTTCAGCCAGAACATTCAGCTCCTGTCTCACCAGGTGCATTTGCATGTCGAACACGCAAGAGCCAAGAGAACCCAGGATCTCCAGGACTGACCTCCTCGAAGAGCAAAGTTTTGGTCGTTGACAGATCATCGACTGCTACGCTTGGATCTATTGCCGAGGACAAGGATGAGCGGAGCGAAGAGTTTTTTCCAGGCGTTTCCCCTCGTATCCTCAATCAGAAATTGAAGTTCAAAGAACATGGCTCTCGACACTCGCTGGTGGGGCAGTCAATGGAACCTTACAGAGCCAGAACCCAAAAGCAGGCGGCAAAGCTGCGTGTCAGCAAGCATCAGGTGAAGATCAATATGGAACAGAGGAGCACAGACTGTCGTTCCCTGGTAGCGACCATCGTTGGTTCCCCAGTCTTCACATTAGCGATTACCATGCTGATTCTGATCAATGTTATCCTGCTGGGAATTGAAGTGGATGTCTCCGCAAACATGGACCTCACAGAGGTTCCTGGATGGTTTAGTACAGTTAACGGAATTATTGTGGGATTCTTTGTCTTGGAGATGGTCCTCAAGTTCATTGCGCTGGGCTTTCGCGAATTCTGGTGTGGCCCAGAAGCTGCTTGGAATGCTTTCGATTTTGCCATTGTTCTAGCATCAGTGGTTGACTTGATCATGGAATTCCTGGCATATTTTGGCTCATCCACCATTGACACGGGCAATCTGCGGCTGGTCAGATCCATACGCTTGGCCCGCGCAGTTCGGGGGATCCGCGTGGTCCGACTCTTCCGCTATATCCCGGCGCTGCGCACGTTGGCCGTGTCGATCATCAGCACCATGGGCTCCTTGTTCTGGACGCTGATGCTGTTGGTTCTGGTGTTCTACTTCTTTGCGGTGGTGATTACCCAGCTGGTCACGGATCATTGTCGGGACTTGGCCATCCTCGATAGCAGCAGAACATGTCCGGAGCTGCTGAAGAAGTATTGGACCTCTGTTGGGGAGAGTGCCTGGTTCTTGACGCATCAACATGTTTGGGGGGTAGCTCTTTCTCTTCAGCAAGGTGCTCAAGATATTCTGTAGGCCTTATTGTCACGGAAGTGCACCCTTGAACTCCGGATCGCATTGAATCTAGAGAGTTCTGGGAAGGGCGAGGGGGGAGCTCTTTTTGTCACTACCTTTTCAGGCCGTCGATGAGAAAAAGGCCTGTGCAGCCCAGAGTAGCGAAATTCGATTATGTTGACTGTTGATTCATGACCGGCAAACTGACTGGTGCTGAGCAAGGATCGAGGGAATGGATACAAAGGTATCTATTGTGGGGATCGTTCCCTCATTCCCTACTGAGCTCCAGTCAGCACATGGTTTGACCATCCAGGTAGGGGGTGTTACGAGTCAACATTAGGCTTTTGGGTGCGAGGTATGCTGACTCTCTTCATGGCCATTACCAACGGCGTCACCTGGGACGATGCCATACGCCCGCTGAGGGACGTTTCATTTGTAGCAGTGGCTTTAGTAATTATGTATGTGACCTTCGCGGTATTTGCCATACTCAACGCTGCTTGGCTTCACTTGGCTTGGTCGATTTTGAGCCGAAACCCGCATGATGGATGCATAGCGCGAACTTGCCGCAGTGCGGGTAGGGGCTAGGCAACAGATGTATCTTTATTGCGGATGGCCTAACAGTCCTTCTGCGTCGCGGAGACCTCAAGCGTGACACATGTGACCACGCGTCCCGTGCATCCAACCATCCACCAACTGAAAAGACATCCACAAGTAGTAGTAAGAATGCTACTAGTAGTACGGCCAGGAGCACGCTAATGAGTAGCGTCCGAACGCTCCTAGTAGTACGGCCAGGAGCCCTAGTGTATGCCCATGCGAGAACCCGAAGACTGTATCGAAAAGAATTTCATTGGGTGTAGACTCGTGGTGGCGACAGTCTATTTATGCAGCGCACCCACCAACTACAACTACACCCATGCAGTACACCTACATGAGACGCTTCAGCATCTCCTGTGCTAGCCGATTTTGATGGGCGGCGGACAGAGTGCATGTGAGGACATACACGGGCACGTTGTCTATGTAATGTATTGAATTAAATAATGTTTGGTAACTTTCGGTTGTCAATACGAGTTATGCAGGTGTCTGTTCTCCGGCTGCTTTTGTGCTTTTAAGGTAGCTTCATTCATGTGTCTTGCAACACAAAATGGACGACCTTGTCGTGCAAAACTGAGACAGGATGATAGACAGAATGTAAGTTCTGCTGACTAAGGGTTCTCACGCTCTCCCGGTTTTCATTCAATAGTACCTACTGTATATGCAACATGACTTATGAGAGGAGCTTTCATGTATTTGTGCCTGTGGCCTCGGCGAAGAATCGACTTAGATTGTTTAGTGAGTGCCAGTTCCAGTTCCTTCAAATCACACCAGCAATTATTCGTTTTGTCCCAGACTCATTAGGTATTTGCACTCCCAGTTAGTTACTCTCTGGTGCGAGCGTGTATTCAAAGTGCCTGTTTAGTCAAACTGTCACGATGTGTTTAGTCGAAACTGCGCCCATGTGTTTTGGACCTTTCGTGCGTGGACGTTGCTGGAGATGTTTGGAGTCACTCTCGGCTGCGGTGGTCCTGACTCTCGCCGCTGCAGCGCATGGTTTGGAGGTGCTTGACTTGTCGCACGGCGGAGTGTCCGATCAGAGAGTGGAAGACACAAACATGTCCGTCCGAAAGAGTGTCGCACGAGGTCCAAGAGTGGCCTTGAACATGTGTCACGTGCGAGTGTTCTACAAGAGTGTCACGCGTGTCGAGTGTCGAAGAGTGCCCAAGAGAGAGTGACCATGCGACACTCGAGGTGTTCAGATTGTGCTGTGTTCGGGCTCGTGGGTTCTATCTTGTTTCCAATCTCAGACGTGCCGGCCAAAATGTTCACCTTACGTGGGTTTTGTCAAGAGAGAACCAAACAACACATTCCAATGACACAGCTACATGCAACGTCTCAAAGTACCACAGTGACACCCTAGATCTCAATGGCATGTCGCGTCGCCAGACTTCACAAAACACTCTTCACGGTTCGTCGCACAGATCGGACTGCGTTGCCGGGTGCGTTGGACCATGGAGTGGCCTCGCAGTTCTTGAGGGGAGCGGTCAGCGGTTAGGCATGGTCAGGCGGTAAGACGGTTTTGAGAATGTTTTGACAAGCATTTAGAGAACACACTACGGTCAAACCGCCGAACCTTCCATTTGTTTGGCTTTAACATCCGACCACAAGGTCTTGCCTTTGTTTGCACGCGTGCATTGGGAGTGCTTTACGGTATGATCAGCGCTCCAAAAACGGAGCCTTTAACGAAAAATCATCTTCTGTTAGATCCCAAAGCACTCCCAAAACGGAAGCCCAAATCAAGTGGAACATTTACAAGCCTTAGTGTCAGGCATTGGCAATGATGAAAGACATATGCTTTTGTGGAGTGCCTTGCACAGTTGCATATCGAACTCCATGGCGGCGTGATTTGGGCTTGCAGTGCGTTGGGAAACAGTCGCTGTGTCGTGGATGTTGCAGGTCTTCAAGAGCACGTTTGTTGGGGTTTCGCTAATACGGTGCTGCGCTTTGTGGTGGGCAGCTCACCACATGCACTTTTCCCCACTACACTCACTACACTTCACCGCATCCTCACTCAGTCACCAACCGTCGCATTCGGAAATGACTGCGCAAACCACTTGCCGTTCGTGGTGTTAAATTCACCACATTGCATACAGTTTGCTCCGTAGCCATTTTGGCTCAAGGACCTCCGCACAAACCTGCAGTTAACGCCACAGTGACTACCCGTGACTACCCTCAGTCTTCCAAAGATGTAGTGATCTTACTGAGACAATTAATTGCCATAGTTTCAAAATTACTATACAAAGTTTACTAAGTTGCTTTCTAACGTAGTATATATATATATAAGTTGAATTGCTATATAGTAGCCTTTTTGGTAACATTTACCACCCGTAGTAAACCGCAAAGAGTAGTTCTTTTTTTTCATGCAACGCATGAAAGGTGTCATTTTTTATCTGACAAAGAACTAATGTTAATGTTCTATGATTAGCTGTGGGCTTTACTTAGGACTTAGGACAGTGTGGAACACTACTTGGGTCTTGAGGTTGTGCAGCGTTACCTGGGTCTTAGCGTTGTGAGTTTGTGCAGCTTGGGGCTTGGCATGTTGCTTGTGAGCAGTGCAGCCTTATGTGTGCTGTAGAATCTGTAAGTTTAGGTAACCATTTGTCAATGCACCAAACCCCTGCTTAGCATGAGTGGTTGATCATAGCAAAAAGGCCGCCTTTCAAAGAAAGGCACCTGCTGAGCTTGTGAAGGAAAATGAGCTTTTGGTACCCTGCATGTTTTCAATGACAGTTTGAGAGAACTTGTGAGAACTCAGTTTGGTATCTGGCTTGTGTAGGTTGCTGTTACGGGGATGTTTTTGATATACTGGAGTCTACTTGAGATGCTGGGGTTTTCAATGCTTGGGATGCGAAAGCACTTGACACACTCTTGACGCGATTTTGCTGCACTTTTTGGTTTTCACAACACTACAAGACTTGCCATTAGTCATTTTGTAAATTATCTTCCATCTTGAGAGGACCGAGGGTAGCACCTTAGCAAGCGGGTCCACCAAATCTTGAGCAAGCATTGTGTGGGTTGTCCTATTCAGGCGGCAACCGAGAAAAGGCCTGCAGAAGCCTTCTGCTGGTGACGCTCCACCATGCATGCCGTGACGCTCTGCCAGAGGTCATGTTCTGCTCACGGCTTCACACTGCGCGGCCATCAGTCAGCAGAGAGGATCACCCAGGCCATGGTCGGTGGCTCAGAAAGTTTTGGGGGACAATCTTCGCTCTCAGACTTTGGCTCACATGGGTTTGCTTCGGGCGCCCCTGTGCCCCATCTCACACATCAGTGGGGACGGTTCCGACGTTTCTCCCACTGGCAGCGTGAAGCGTTTAACGCCAACACGCGGTTCTGGAAGGCCAACCTTAGCTTTGGAAAATCACCGCTGACTGGGCACCTACGTTTCGGTCACGAAGCAACCCACTTGGATCTGATTGTCCACTCGCAACAACCTTTAAGTTTACACGCATGCGCCTTTCGATTAGGTTAAGGGCTCAATGGACACACTGCTTTTGAAGACTCTGAAGAGGTGATGTGCCCTCCTTGTGCCAGCGCGTTGGGTGCGCGAAAACATCGAATCCTGCCTCGGAAGCCTTTCAAAAGAAGGTTCGTTCGCATAGAATGTCGGCATGGGCCCTCCAACAAATGTCTCCGCTGAAGTGAAGATGCTCGGCGTGTCAATGCGCGCTCATTTAATGCTGCAGGCTTTAGTTTCACTGCCATGCGCGCAGCGCTGGCCTAGCTGTGCACATGCTTTGGGCGGCGGCTAATCAAGCCAACTTTATGATGCCACTATGTCAGCTTCTCCTCATTGCCGTCGTTGCCCAGCTAGGCACTTTCATGGGAGCACAGGGCCAAGTGGCAGCAGCAGCGGATGAGCAGAGTTTAGGTGGGGGAACGCATGTCCGGTGCCTTCTTCAGTTCAGTGGTGTCGAGGCGCGCCATACATACTATGACCCGTTGCTTTTTTTGCTGGCACTCTGATGGAAAATCATGGGTCCACGTCCTTCAGTTGTTCTTCGGCCCTGATTGAAAGAGGGACCAGCCCTAAGCCGTGTCCAGCCCGAAGCCGCGTCCCGCCAGGCACACTGTGCAGTTGCAGTTTGTGTGGCGCGGGCTGACCCAGTAGACGATGGATCGTTGGTGGGGTGGATCGCGTTACACCCCGGCGTCTTACGATCATCGCTAGCTTGCGTGGTCGTGGGTGGCTAGGTTATAATGTAAACGCGTGAAACCTCTAACAACATTCTCAACACCTCACCCGTAAAGATTCCGAACTCAGGGTGAGGGTCTTTAGAGTTAAGTTAAGTTGCCACTATTTGTTTACCTTATAAGGCGACCGACCAAGGAATCATCTTGAAGAATGACATTTGGCCTCCGCAGAAACGCGCGCGTCAGAACGCGGGCCTTCCCAAAAAGGACCAACGCCAACGCCGTGCTACCGAGGAAGTTCTCTTTCCAACTGCTCCTGGTGGCCACGCTTTCTAGCAAAGGATAGTAGAGATGGATCCCTCTATCTTTTCACATTTCAACAGTACTTTCCTCCACCCCCAGATATCATGGCAGGGTTACCAATGGCTTTGGTTGTTTTTTGCTGAATGGCAGGTGGGCGACGACGACTCCGAACTTTTTGTGGACGCGGCTGACAGAGGGGCGGTATAGCAAGCCACTGGTTAATCTGTACCGGTTTTGTTCCCTAGTTGTGGTAAGCCTGCAAAACTCATTGTAAACAGCCTGGATAAACAGAACGTTTCTCTTGCAGGCTACTAGCTCGAGGGTGAATGGATAGCAGTTGAACACCGTACTATCATAGTATTATCTCACTATGCTTAAGAGCGAAACAGTCAGACGCCCGAAAAAGCTGGGAAACGTTTATGCTGCCATGACTGGCGGCTTCAAGGCGTGGAGGCTTCAAAGCCTCGAAGCCACGAAGCGTTCAAGCTGCCAAGCGTAAAATCGCCCATAGCGTCCAGGCGTGGAGGCTTCGAAGCGTCGAAACCGAAAAGTGTCCAAGCTACTAAAGCACAAAGCCGCAAAGTGTGAACACTTCGAGGCGTCGAGGCTTCGAGGCGTGGAGTGGTGTGGCCAAACCCATTTCCCCATACCCTCGTTTGATACTTTGGTTGATTAGCTCTGCATGCTGGCTTGGCAAATGTTTAATTTGAACATGGTGGTTTTCCGCCTTTTTGTGCTGCAGCTGCTGCGGTTTGTGTTTGCTTGGGGGCTGCTGCAATTGAATTCTCGTGCGCTGAGGTTGTAACTGGTGTGTTCTGCAACAATGCAATTGAGTCAGCAAGTGCTGACAAAGAGATCGCCACCATCAAACAAGTTCGCGTCAAGGACCAGCAGGTGTGGCGGTCATGCTGATTTTTTGACTCATGAACAGGTCGTGGTGGTGGTGGTGGTGGTTTCTTGTTGGAGCGCCAGGTGTTTGAAGTGTGTTGTCTGTTTTATCAGTTGCTTTACCCTTCCTGAGGTGGAATCGTTGCAGCAAATCTTCCAAGAAATTGACAACTTCAACCAAACTCAGGTGACTTTCGAGGCGCAGAACATGCAGAAACTGCGTCATTTTTCTGGTTTCATGTTGCGGGTCTTCAGGGGTGTTTGTTGAAAAAATCAAGCATCGCTATTGACATGAGTGCTGGCGTCGTAGGATGTCCAAGATGCTATCTCTAATGGCGAACTTGCCAGCTTCATGGAAGCAATGGGCATCTCAACAGACGATGTTTGGACCGCAGGGGTCAGGAAAAAACATGTTGCATTAGGAACAAGAGCCTGGAACGGATATGTCACACATAGTTCAAGAACTGCGTTTCCTGATGTTTCCTGGTGTTTACACACAGCAACCGCTGAGTTGTTCAGTCGTGCTGCGTGTCAGGACTTTGTGTATGCTCCTTGATGCAGACAAGAACGGAATGATCGATTTGGATGAATTTGTATCTGGTTGCATGCAACTGCACGGTCCCGCAAAAAGTTTGCAGCTGGCAAAGATGAGCTTTGAAAACAAGTACCCGAGCTGCACCACAGTGTTCGTGCTTTGAATATGGGGTCGTTTTCATATTGAACAACTGTTGCTACAGACAATGTGTCACATGTTTGAGGTAATGTGGTTTTGGTGGTCTTTCTGGTTTTTGCAACCCACCTCAGCTCTGTGTATTTTGTGCTGCTCTAATATTTGAGGAACAGACTCCTTTAATCTGACATTTTCGATATCCGTCTGGTGCCCGATTGAACAGTTAGAGCAGGGAAGCTTTACCCGGGTTCAACTTGAAGCAGGGGGGAAGGTGAACAGGGCACCCTGGGCAGTAGTACTCCCTGGGCAGTGCATGTCATTTGCTGCTCGTGTGGCACATTGGCAGTCTGCAGGTTTGGTAATGTCAACTTCCAATCCATCCTAGGGGTTGGCCACAAAGCCAGAACTAGTTAACTAGGGATCCAGTTAACATTCACATATAACCAGGAGGTAATACTTGGGGTTGATGTGCTTCAACGTCGGTGTTAAGGAAACGGGCCTCATAAGACTAGCGACAATAGTTCGAAGAGTTCCGGCTTGCACTGCTTTTGTGTGCTGGGACAGGGAAACGGTAGGGTTTCCGCTGGTTCCTGAGCTTTTCACGCACATAAGCTTCTCAACGCTAGTCTGAATATTTTGCTTTGCGCTACGCTGTGCAATCTGACCCTGGACTGCTCGAGAGGTGTCCTTGCGATACTCTAGCCCATCGGGAGCAACACTATCCGGGAACGCTTGTAGTGGTTTTGTAGCTGCTAGGTGTGGGCTGGTCAGGGATTGCCTTGTGTTCTTTGAGTCTGGCCTTCTCAAGATGTGCTTCTCGGGCACTCTGGCAAACCTCGCGCCACTCTGTGTGGGTTTGTTTGGCTTTGTTGGAGGTGGTCTGCTGTTTGTGCGTGGTTTTGGTTTTTAATACATACCTGTGGATAAAATGGAGGGGACCAAGGTACTTTATAAAACGTTTTGTACCTCCCCCCGAGTGGGAGGTCAGGGTTACATTTTATAGAGAAATCCTGCTTGCTGTGTAAACTGAGGTCAGGGACAGTCAGTTTATAATAGTTTATATGTTTCATGTCGGGGTCAGGGATGTCAAATTATATCCCCCTGGGGGGTCAGCCCACTTTATATCTATAAAAGGGCTGTCAGGACCCCTGCAGAGATCTACCACAGCGATCTTAATACCACCTAAAGATCTAGTCTAATGATCCAATGATCTAGCAGCCCCACAGTCAGATATTGTCCTGCAAAGCCAAGCTGGCAGGAAGACTTGTTAGCGAAAACGGGTTCCAACAAAAAATATATATATGCAAAAATGTGTCTCCTGCAAATTAGATAGGTGGCCTTCTGGTTTGAGAGTGTATCCGGGAAACATTTGAGGCTTACTCGGCAAGCAATCGCGGCTCTTGTGAAGGCTTGGAAGACAATTGATTTGTGAAGTGGTGTCGGGATAGAATCGTCCGAGTTGTGTGTTCTTTGCAGTTGTGGAGTGCTCGACCGACCAAAGCAGTGCATTCATTTGCCGGAATCTTGGGAGGAGATGGAAGCTACAAGGCTTCTCGTCGAACTCCTTCATGGAGATGATCCACGGCAATCGCAAGAATCCTTTTAGGTCTCACCTGTTGCTCAAGCCGCACGCCTTTGCGAGAAGCGCTCTGTGCAATGCTGCTGGACTGTACGGAGAACACAAAAATGCGGCTGCGCTTGCTGTTTGCGTGTATTAAATCATTTTAAATCCAAGCTTTTTGAATTATATTTAATCCAAGTCATTGTCAAGGATTTGCAGAGTCAACGTGCACTTTACAAAGTGGCAAGTATTGAGTTTGCTTTCTCTTCTCAGAAGCGTTATGGAGGTAAACACTCTGGGTTACCTGAATTCCCCATGTTTCACCGATGATGGACCGCTACTTTGTCAGCAAATTTCGCCGACGCGTCAAGGAAGAACATGTTGTGATGCGCACAAATGTCCACATGATTGGCAACGCGAGTTGTTGAATGGTCCAACGAGATGCCAAAATGATAACAGAGAGATACAAAGATCCGTGTCAACACAGTGTCTTGCGGGATACGCCATCGACTTCATCGTCGGTCATGTGGTGGCCCTGGAGTATGTCGATCTATGCAGCCTGGTTTGTAGACACTGTCGTGCAAGGTGGCGGAGCGTGGTACGACGCGGAGAGCGAGACATCCTGCGAGGGGCTGAGTTGCAATGACCGTGTGAGACATTTTATTCCCCAGAGCGTGAGCTGTTCTTACTTCAAGTATAGGAAGAGCTGCGTGTGGGCGTTTTGGCCTGGGTGCTGGTGCCGCTGCAAGGTGCCGCTGTTGTGTGCGCTTGAGCTTGGGTGCTGCGCGCGCTTGGCAGAGTGGGTGCTGGTGCCGCTATTGGGTGCCGCTGCGCTTGGAAGCTTGGGTGCTGGTAAGCTTGGGTGCTGGTGCTGCTGCAGGGGATGTTTGACTGTATGCACTTGGGAGCTGGGGTGACTCGGGTGCTGGTTCGGTGCGCTTTGGAGGTTGGTGCCGCTGCAGGGTGTCACTCGAGGGTGCTGCTGCGACACGTCTCTTGCCCATGTGCTCTTGACTTTCGGGTGCTGGCACGCTGAGGAGTGCCGCTGCGGATTGCGGCTGCAGGGTGCTGCCCCACAGAAATCTTTTTGCTCTCTGGGGTCTATGCTGGCGCAATTCTTGATAAGAATCAGTCAGATTACTCCGTTGAGGAGGATTTTTGAGCTTGCTTCGCTTCGGGACAACACCCTTTCTGTTTCAATTGCCAGACGTTCCAAGGCATGGCAGCTTCGGAGGCATTTTCCATTCTGAGGTGGGCATCGAATGATAGGAAGGGATGTTCAAGCAACTGGTGAACTGGCCAGGCCTTGCCAGGGGCATTGCCAAGGAGGCAGGTGATTGTATCACATGCATTTCCCTTGGCTGTGGAATGAATGAATGTGTATATATATATATGTATAACTACATGTATATATAGAGCTTAATTGTGTGAAGCGGGCTCTAAAGTAGAGAGGGTTCATGAATTGCCTCCACAGCCTTTTCCCCAAGCAGGTTTACCCGTGAGGGGTTCTTACTCCTTTGAAAGGGTTGCGTGCCTGGGCCGCGTGATTTGCATTTGTCTCCGGGCTTGCGCTCCTGCCACATTGCGATTGCTTTGGCCACATGATGTGACACTTGTCTCCCACTTGTCTCGCTTGTCTCCGGGTACACTCTGGGGGCCTTTGGCTGCATGATTTCACACTTGTCTTCCACTTGTCTCCCACCTGTCCGAGTACACTTGTCTCCCACTTGTCTCTCGGCCCCATGATTTTTACACTTGTCTCCCACTTGTCTCCCTTGTCCCCCAGTCCGCTCTGGGTCCTTCGGCCGATTTTTCCTCTGCCTACACTTGGCCGGATGTTTTTACACCTGTCTCCACTTGCCTCCCTGCTTGTCTCCCTTCTTGTTGCACTTGTCTCCACTTGTTTCGGCCTACTCTGGATACACATGGCCGTATGTTTTTACTTGTCTCCACTTGTCCCTTTGCTTCTCTCCCTGCTGGATGATTTCACACATCTCTGCCTGCTTGTCTCCCTTCTTGTTTCACATGTCTCCACTTGTCTCGGCCTACTCTGGATACGCTTGGCCGGATGATTTTGCACTTGTCTTCCACTTGTCTCCCTGGTGGTCTTTCTGCTTTTGTTTCACTTGTCTCCACTTACTGGTCTTCCTTTTTGTTTAACCTCGCAACCTCATGGTGGGTTGAAAGCGTTTAACATCTTTTAGCAAAGCAAAGCAGAATAAAGCCAGATGCCAGTACAACTCAGCATATTCAGTAGATTTGCGTATGTTCTGTTTTCGTCTGAATTGCTAGTTCTGACCTTGAGCCAATTGAGACAAACCCAGAAGGTCCGGGTTGATCACCGCGAGCTGGAACGGTTTGGGCCATTGACTGCTTGACAGTTCGTCTCTGTGGCTTACTTCATAAACGCATGCTGGTATATTTTAGGCTGGAGGGACCTGACTTGCAGCTCAGTAACCCCATACATCTAAAGGTCCGAAGATGTCTCCCAGACCTGCAGGAATATGAACACTTGTCAGATGTCCATGTCGGAGTCGAACCAAGCCCTTTGGCCTTGCTCTTTGTCATGCTTGGCGTCTTGGACTTGATGCTGGATAAAACACTAAGGTTCTATTTTGCCGGAACAGGCGATTTGGTTAGGAACGTCCAGTTTCATCATCCACCTTGCAGGAGATGAGAGCGAACGTGTCAGGGACCGGTGAGGAGCGAACCAACTTGATGTGTCCCGGTTGGTTTGTGGGGCAATCGCATCCTGTCCGTGTCTTGTGGTCTTTGCTCATGGAGGTATCATTTGTTCCCATCAGAGGAGAGGTCTTTTGATTCCCCAATAGCGATAGCTTGGGGTTGTACACCTTTAGGCGGCCGGGCCACCGTCGGATCCACGGCCCGCCCTGGGCGGTGGTGTCCCGGCGTCTCGGTCATGATTTGGTGGTGTCTCGCTCAGTCCTGTTTAGGTTGTGTTTCGGTAACGTTTTGTCGGTGTCTCGTTCATGTTTGGGCATCTCAGCCTTTATTCGGTGGCGTGTCGCTTTCATGTTTGGGTGGTGTCTGGGTCATGTTTCGTGGGTGTCTCGGTCATGTTGCGTGGTGTCTCGGTCGTTGGCGGTGTCTCGGTCATGGCTTGGTGTTGGCTCGGTACATCTAGTTGGTTGGATATTGTTTTTCTTGCAACTCTGCGTGTGAACCGTGTGAACTATGGGATTGCACTTCAACATGTATTGTTTTGGAAAATTGTGTTCGATATTGCACTTGTGAACAAGCAGATGTCAGCGAACAACCACCCAAAATATTCGCCAAATCTTGGTGGATGCTTTGCTTTTGGGGCAGCTGGGTTAATTCTATTCATGTGACAGAACCTGGGATATGTGCACCTGCCGGGGTATGGAACCAGGCAATTGCAGGCTTTAGCGCCTTTTAACTTTACCACCAGGTTTTTGTCGGGGTACCATTGTAGTTTTCGCGCTGCATCTATCTGACTTCCAGCTTCGTATGATAGTTCTTGATCAAAATCAATAGGGAATCAGCTAGATTCTATGTTCCAGATAACTTATGTATTGCTCCAGATAACTTATGTATTTTGTATCGTTTATTGTTCCATTGGATTTCTCCGAGAACTTATGTATGTGATTGCTCCCGGAAAGAGCTCACAGGTATGGGTTTTGCGTTGTTTTGAACACCAAATGGCTTCTGTGCAGGCAAAATTCGCCACAGCATCCTCCATATGGCAACGACCTCAGTGGCTTCCAAGCTCACAGTTGGACAGCACTCAGTGGAGGATAAGCACAGCAGAGTTGCTGGCACTAAGGTTGTCTTTAGGGATCTATTTTATTTTAGCAAGACAAGGTCAAGGACAAACAGGTTCCTGCTGCTGGTGCCGCAGACTCTTCATGTCAATAGACATGGCTGACGGTGGTTGCTGCTAAGATTGTTGCTACTCTTAGGGTTGGGTTTCGTGGTAGTCTATACTCTTCCCTGCATCCCGGTCACGCTACCCTGCTGAATCTTGCTTACAAGTCCAAGAAACAATTACACACTGGATGTCCTGGGCAAGTGATTACAAGGCTGGTGTGTGGGTGCCAAATTGTTCTAGTGCTTCCCGTGCGTTTTCGATGACGTTTTCGATGCAGTTTGTTTCTACCTCCTCTAGTTCGATGCGTGAACACACAAACGTGCGTTGCTCTCGCATCGTTTGAACCAAGGCCTTTACCCCGAGCTGATCTCTGGTTCCGCCTTCACGGCCCGACGCCCGCGGCGGTCGTTCGCGAAGGATTTTTCACCGACGGTGTCGGCCTGGAGCCGGTTCAGGTGCCGCGAGCGAAGAATCGCTACACCTGGGCATATCGGATTCGGCCCTCGGTCGGGCACTTAGTGAAGCAAAGAATGACGGACTTAACGACCTGGGTGGATGTCAACTTGGACACGGCAAGTGAACCAACAGGTCCAGCACGCACCTTATGCGGCCTCTGGATACGAACCTTGGGCCATGCCAGCTGCTTGTAGGAAAACTCGCCGCTGAAGCTTCTGTAGTAACTACTAGTATTCCTTGTGTCGGAGCAGCTCGAACTGACACGTTATATCAATTACATAGCTCGAGTTGAAAGGTGGAGGACAGGCAGGTGCCCTTCGGTTGAGCCATCCATGTCAGGCGCATGCGACCTGGGTGAGCCCACCCTTTCATCATCCGTGCCCTCCCGTCGGGAACCCGACCGCACAAAACCACAACCACTGTGGCGAGTATCGGACATCTGAAACATGAATCGATGTGGAATTCCTTTTTTCCCAAGCATCCGGTTGTGCTCTGAACGACGGTCAACACCTGCTCTCCACTGTATTCTGCTTGAAAAAAGCCAGGTGCAGATGCGATTCCGCCCCGCCCCTTTGCCTTCACAAGGTCAGGCAAGACAGTCTTGTATGAAATTGATCATCCAACAAAGGAAGACGTGACGTTTTGAGTTGATGTACACTCCCTGAAACAATAATGGAAGTGGAAAACCATCTGTTTGTAGAGAAAAATTGTCATATAATAAGGGGTCACTTTCCACTTTCATGATTATTTCAGGGAGTGTAACGATACAAAGTTCAGGCACAGACTTTGTGGATGGTGCTGTCACTATGGCTGCAAATGGCTCACCAGCAGCTCAGGAGAGCTTTCTTGGATTGCACATACCGGATGCATTCAGTAAGACAAAAACTCAGGGTGGTTGTTCTGAGCCTTTAGCCGCTCATCCATGTTTTCTTCTTTGTCTTTCTAGCTTTATGCAACAGACTGAATGAGTGATGATGCTGGCCTTGTTCTTGCAGCTTCTTGCAGCTTGACCACTTATGTCCGCTTCTCAAGAAAAGTAGGATGGTTGTAGTGCAAACACCTACGCAATGACTTCGTCCATGCTGGACTCTTGGAGTGCAGTTGCTCACGTTGCTCACTGCACAATAAAGATGTCAGACATGTGTGGCAATTGAATCTTACATGACCTTAGCATCGTTGAGCTTTCCAAAGTCGGACGGAGCAGTGTCTGTCCTTGATAGGAACATTCGTCCGAAGTTGGGCCACCGATGACCAACTCTTTTCTCACAGTTTTCCCAGAGAAGAGAAGTGGTATAACGGTATAATAACAGTTATAAACAGTGGTTATACCGGCATAACTTGAGAAGTGGTTATACCGGCAGTTAGTCTGCCCGGTATAACGGTATAAATCAAGGCAGGTTCCTCCGGGGGAGTTCGCCTTGTGCAACGAGGTCCAGCAAGAAGCGCTTCTTGCGAGTGGCGGATGGGGACCTGCTGATTTTGCCACAGGACAGCGGATGAGACGAGATGAGATGAGCTGTGTGTCACGCGAAAAGTGTCAGTTCAAGTCAAGAACAGTAGCGGTGGAGCAATAACGGTGGAGCCTTTTTGCTTTAGATTTCAGGGACTTGGCGTTTTAGAGGCCAGAGATGGATCCGTAGCCGGCTTGATACATCTAGGTGTTGCAACCACGAACAGTGTGTTGGAGCGGTTCTGGAGAGACTGGTCCTGGACCAGTCCAACTACACTTGACGAAGCTTGGACCCGTTCTTTGGCTCGCAGGAAGGCACTTTACAGGTCCGAACCGAATGTGGTGACTTGCAGGTCCCGCGCGAAACGATGGACTGCATGAATGTGCGAAAAGGGCACGTTCCGTGGGATCAAATTGAACGCAAAATTGGCATGTACTGTGTGGCAACAAGCTCCACTCCCCTGGTGCCGAACAGATAAGACAGAAAGACCAATGCTGCGTCCAGAAGCTACGTTCGTAGCTTCTTGCTACGTTCGTAGCGATGGCCTCCAACCTACTTGTGATGGCCTTCACCGAGCATAGCGTCCTTGGTGACTTCAGATTTTTTAAATCCGCTCTCAGGTGGAACCTTGGGAACTCGTTCTCGTGCGAGACTGAGTGGTCGGTTTTTCCCGTGCGTCGTTTCTCCCCAGGTGGACCGCGCAGCGCGGTAGCATTACCATCCGAACTGGTCAAAGGATCGTAACAACATTGAAGACATTGGCAAGAACCAGTGGATCACTGGACATCGTTTCATTGGGAATCCGTTCGACACGTTTCACCTGCAGTAGCAATAAAGCTTTCTAGTATGTTTTTGGAGCTTCTTAGTAACGAAGCTTTCTAGTGCTGTAACTAGAAGCTATTAGGGGTTCCTGGCATCGCTACTAGGAGCAATCGGACGCTACGAACGGGGCATTTGTCTTTTGTCACATCCGCTCTCGATGTACCTTTGAGGTGCCACGAGGATTGACCTTCCAAGTGAATCTGGCCGAGGGCACCTCGATGGCTCGCGGGTGCGATGCCAGAGAGTCTTCGAGGGATAGAACTCTCCGCCGTCCTTGTGAGAATGTGGAATCACATCGGGCCCCAAACAAGTATGGGGCACACCCAATCTTGACTGCCAGATTCAGGGCAAACCACATCTGGCCTTGCTCAGGTACTTCCTTGAAAACTTTGGAGATCATTTTGTCATTCCAGAGCTTGGACCGTGGCCACCTCAGGATCCAATCTCACCAAGCATGAAGACTCAAGCTGGGTCCAAGCTTTTGCCAGAACATGTGAACTCCCGTGTGGAGGTTTCTTTTCCTGTGTTTCCTGGTTCTTCAAGCCGTCTTTAGCCGTTTGAAAGCCCGTGTTGCCTGCTTTTCCTCTCTCCAAGGATTGGCATTTCGGGTGGTCTTGCACACCCTCGGCACTTCGTCGCACCGAAGGCACTGACCGCCCCCCCCCCTCGGGGGTCACTCACCCGGGGGTCTTCGAGGGTCTTCGAGTCTTCGATTCCGGAAAGACACCGAAAGACAGCTATGAATTTGGAACAAGAATAGTGGAAAGAACTCATCGAAGCCAAATTCGAGCGCATGAAAGACAGCTATGAAAGATAGCTAAAAGAACTCATGGAAGCGAAAGAACTCATGGAAGCGAAATGGGGATCCGCCACACGGCGACGCGTATGCGCCACGTGTGGCGAACTCATGGTCGCTCCAAGGCACAGTACGAGGAGCTGGATGGTGAATTTGAGCCCTGGATGGTACGTTGGAGGTTGATGTTGTCCGGATGGATGATTGACATCACAAAGAGAAGTGTGCAGGTTCTGACTCAGTCAACAAGACGGGAAGACATCCTGTTCTGACTCCATCACACTGCAACATTTTGGATGTGCTGGTCATTGCATCTTGAGTACCAGCGAAGCAGGGCATAGGAAAAGAGTGCCAATCCAAAATTCCACTGGCTATGGAACTCCTTACATGTAACCCTGGATAATATTGAATTGTGGAGTTTATAGTATGTTCATTCTTGTGATTTGGGAGGGCACGAAGGCTTCCTGGGTTGCTTGCTGGAAAGCCTTGCGTTGGCTCTTCTTTTTGCTGAGGAGTTGGTGTCAAAATACATGGGTGGTTTATTTCGATCAAGCATCAGGCCGATCCTGCTGGCATCCTGCTGGTTAGGAGTTTTTCTCTTTTCAGGGTTGACACACACTTATGGATATGCATACGGAACTGAAAGCGGTGCCACACGCCAGCCTAGGTTACCA